GGATTTTCTTTTTGATGTTCGCGCGTATCCGGGGAATGCGAATGTGTGGGTGTGGTAAATTGTTAACTCCCCTGGTGTTTTGTGTTACGGATTTGTGGGCGTAACTTGTATTACGTCGAATTTCAAAAAGTAAAGATTTTCATAAATGATTATAAGATCGAATAACATTTTTTCACCAAAACGATGCACCAAGTGCAAGTGCAGAAATTTAATTTGTTTCGATTTTCATATTAAGCTATTAATTATAACATTACATAGGATAATTTGGAATATCAATACAACATACTGAACAAAAAAATTCGGTTACACTGCAATAAAAGGTTTCATCCAAGAAATCATTCATGAAACTATTTTTAATAAAATGTGACAACCTGTTATATATCCACAGACCATGAACTTCTGGGATTTTTTTCCATATTTTTAACCTGATTAGAGTTATCCGAAAATCATTTCTATTTCTTATCGAAATATCATCGCCAGTCGTATCTTTCTTATACAGATAGTTTATCTGAGATATATATTTTTTAGATACACGACGATGGGTGCAGCCCTTCAGAATATATAGGATAATTGATTCCTCACTGGAAATAACTGTAGAATCCTGACCATTGAGTATTAAGATTAAAGCTTAATCATTTAGATGTATCTTTTTTATAATTTTGTTTCATTAAAATTGCTCTTTTATTTAAATTGCAACAAAGTGGTTCGTTTAGGAATCACAATTTGTCTTTAAATGATAGAATCTATTGGTCAATTCGTTGGAAGAAATTGTAATAAATAACATTGTGCTTTTTTGTTAATACGAATTAAAATTTCAATTGCATAACAAATGCAATCCATTAACCCATTAACATTCTAATAATTGTGCAGCTTTATGTTTAACTTAAAATACATAGCAAAATACTGATATTATCGTTACAAAAATGAAAATGTGTTATTTGTATACAAATTATAGGAGAATCAAAAAATTGTACTAAAATGGCAATTTCGCCAGTGGTACAGAATTTGGGAATAACAATAATCTCTCTCCAATAGGGTGTACACTTCCTGCCAAGTATGACAAAAAGGTACTCCAAATGGTTTTAAAGTACTGGGCGAAATTTTTAAATTTTTTAAACAAAACACCAGTAATGGAGCCACATTTTGGTTAAATTTTGGACTGTCTGAGCAAAAAACTTCCTGAAATGGAGAGAACCATGAATAAAATACTAATGATTTGGTGATAATTTTAAACTACGATTTTGGAGAAGTTTCTCAGTTTTAATACTAATATTTCATCATAGCACTTTAACCTCCTTTTAACAAGCTTAGTTTGTTGTAGCTCCGTTCTTTCTTAATCTTTTTCTATAAATAAAGTGACGCGCGCCTTCTGATATGATAAATTTTAATCCGGTTAAAAAGTTTGCTGGAAAAGACCCAACGGATATCGATAGATGTTCTGCCATACATCAAGAGGGGTACTGGCAAAATTGGCCGAATATTACGAAAACACGAGACATCTACAGCATACAAACTCCGTACGATATTAAGAAACCCAAAAAAAAAGTTACTGTGGAAAACCTGAGAGTATACAGTGTAGATTGCGGATTGTGCAGCGGGACAGACCAATAGAAATATTTATAACAATAATAATAATATGTCTTTATTCATGTTGACAGAATATTTACAAAAACTTATAAAGTAGGTGGCGGTATTCAACAGAGTTGCTCATACATCCACCAGATTAACCAAATAACTTATAAAATATCCAAAACACAGACTAAGAGAATCACAAGATAACCAAGGTATATCATTATAACGAGAGTAATGTACGATTGTCACAGATTACTCTGGTATAAGATTATTCATGTTTAATAGAACGGTAGAAAGTAAATAACCTTTCATTGAAAATTGAGATCGTGGGGGCACATCTGACACTGGAAGGTAATTTATTAAAACGTTTAGAGCCCTGGTACGTAAAAGAACATTGAAATAAGGTTGTACGATGCTTAGGTACCCTAAGGAGTTCACGACTACGAGTTAGCCTGTTATGGGTATGAATACTTCTAACCAACTTATGCAAACCTCAGACAAGCATTCTGCAATTTTTGGAGCGAATCTCTTTCCTTCTGAAATAAGACCGGCCAATAAACTGAAATACAATAATTAATATTTGACAAAACCAGAATATCACTGAGTCTCAATCTTATGCTTGTATCAAAGACGTCCTTATGCAAATATAAGAACTTAAGTTTGTAAAAACATTTCTGAACTACGTCACAGACATGATCCAGAAAGCGCAAATCACAATCAATTTCAACCAGGCTCGAAGAACATCGCTGAGTCATTAGAAACAAACAAACAACATCAGCTTTATTTGAGCAGCAACACCAAACAGGTCATAAAATTAATTTCGGTACTTGTAAACAAATTGCTAATATTTCTGATTTTAGAACCAGGATTATACGAGAGGTCATCGAGACAGAAAAGTTCGGACACCTAAATACTAAAGACCACGTTCTGCATTTATCCAATACGTGGAAAACAATAATCAAATGGCAGAGCGATGCGCAGCAGTCATCATGGACATCTCAACTAAAATCAAATAAACAACGCAACAATTTAGGGGGCGGATCCATCTCCCCTCCCGCTCAAGGAGCACCCTTGCCATTTCCGGCGCAGGGTATAAATACCACACATCGCCGATAAGCTCCTAGTATTCGAAATGATTTCCGAGGCGCGAGCAATGAAGATGCCAAATGAGATCTTGGCGAAACGCCTGCAAGATTCCAGTTTGGAGTTCAACAATGTATTTTTTTATATATTTTTTAAAATACGGGGCATAGAGGAGGAAATAAAATGTACACGCAGTATTTCAAATTAAGTTGACATTATTCTTATCATTTTACTATTCTTTGTCCATATTGTTTCTTGTTTTTAAGCAAAAAAGAATTATCCCCATTATAAGAATCTCTATATATTAATACCAATTAATCACAAAGAGTTAATTGTACCAGAAACACTGATTTGTGAAACCCAATCCTGAAAACCGAAGTGAAGGCAAAAAAACCTTGCCCAAATATCTACTACAGATCAAGGTGTACCCAGATGTTTTACAAAAAACTTAACATTTTAAAACAGGTTTGTATTGTTGAGTTTATATGAAAAACGTTTATATGTAAATTTTGTGAAATAATTATTCGATAGTCTGAGTTGAGCTAGAATCTTAGTTGTGTGAACCGGTAAATTAGAGCTGAGATATTTTGGAAAACAGTCACTGTGTTGTGTATAGTGAGAATTTGAAGAAGTTCGATTGAGTTTATCAATAATATCAAAAGAGTAAACCTCAGACAGCAATGTTACTAGAATGGTAATATCAAAATATTCACTGTTGGGCCTTGGTTATTGAAGATTCAGCCATTTCCCCAAAAATAAAGAAGAGAAAGCAAAACCAATCATGATGATGATGATGATGGCGATTAACTACTTCAACAGGTTTGTTATTTTTGAAAAACTACCTCTCGGGAGGATTTGGACCGCCCCGCTGAAAGCAAATGATTTTGGGATATTAATTACTAATTTCTTTAATTGACTATATTTTTCATCGGTTTTAGCTTGCATCTAATGTCAGTCTTAGCCTCCGAGTACAATAACAAGGTCGTCGGCATAGAGCAGAATGGTTGGTTGCGTCGATTGATAGATCACGCGCTTCGAATCAGTCAGAGACTTTGACAGTGACTGAAGTATTGTCGTATAAGTTCTTAATAACATTAATAAAGTTGGGATTGACATCATAGCTGCGTAGCTTGTGTCACAGTAAGATGTGAGAAATAGAGTCGAAATATCGACGAAAATCAACAAAGACGGCTTTTTTTCCTTTCAGGTGCTAGTGCAATTGTATGATAGAATTTAGGGTTGATAAGGGATTGCATCTTGTCAATGCAATCCTTTCCCTTAGTCTGAATGGGTCTCCCGTGCCAGAAGCCTCCCCAGGAGTGTTTGAAATACCGTCACTACCGTTTTCACCAAAGCAATTGGTCGAAAATTGATAAAGTTATTACTCATTCCCTTCTTGTGAAGCAACTTCACCTTTAAGCAAGACAGTGGAAAAAAAGGATCTGTAGTTGTAGGAACCAGCTTTGAGGCAAGTTTAAAAAAAAACGAACTTAATGGCATCCAACCCAGGGGACTCATTATTTTTAAACTTTCTCAAAACGAATGAAATGCAATCGCGCACTCAGATTTTTTTTAATTCTCCACAAATGAATACAAATTTCACTGTTGTATGACAGATTGAGATGTTTAATTAAAAATAAATAGCTGACTAAATTCGGGTTCTTGTCATTCCCGAAACAAGTGGTGCTAAATAAAACATATTTGCGCTTTGTGGGTCAAAGTAACAATGTTTTCGCTGCGTACAATGGATCTAAATTTAACGAAACTCAAACAAAGCAGATCAGTGACCCGTTCGAATTAAAACGAGCCAGTTCGTGTCGATTGTCGATATTCCGCGGGGGGTTAAATACAACCCCGAATCAACGGTTTTTTTATTAAGCTAATGGGATTGGCCGTTTTGTTTTGGTTAACCGACACAAACGCGTCTAATAGACGCGACTTTTTAACAATAACAACGTTTCCATGCGGTGGTCTTTTGGAATGGAAAACTTTACAGATAGATGCAAGTGTAAACATATTTTTCGGATTTTTTTTAAATAATATTTTGCACCTGATCAAAGAAAAGAAATTTAGAAGTAGAAAAATTTACGTATGTTAATTTTGATAAAAGGCAAAAAGACATTAAACATTGGTAAAATTTTGAAAAAATATACATTGGTAATAACAACGCTAATGTCAAAGACAATTTTTTAATAACCTCTTTCCTTCCTATTAAGAAAATCTCTTTTCAAAATCATATTTAAGTCAAATAAAGAGAAAAATAATATTTACTAAAAACCAATTTACAATAATTCCTATACAATTATCACAACTAAATCATCAGTATAAGTAATTGCGTTTTTATGTATTAATTTCTATAATATCCAAGTGCAAACCACTATAGCAAGATTAAGAGAACCTTATCATTAGGAATATTATCTGAATAATCTTCATGATGGAAAATATGTTACTTCTATAGGTGACGTATCTAGTTTTACTTTGAATTTTCGTAGTCTTACACGCAAAATGTATATGAATGCATCAGATGTGCATAACTCTATTGAGAACGTCGTTGTTGGTCGTTATAATTGACTCATATTTAAATTTTTGGGGCACTACTAATAACAACAATTTTACTACATAAAAGTGTTTTTCTACACCCTTCTGTAAAATACCTAATTAAACATCGATCTAGCATGCGGTAAGTGTCATTTTACCACGTCAGTTTCGTTTCCCATGGATCCGAGTGACTTCGCACATTTCCAGGATATTACCGCACGGGTTTGGGATCAATCGGATGTTTTAGGGGATATTACCGCACGATTTGAATTTTGAAGTTTGTCAATTCTGACGGTCATGTCAGTATAATATATTATGCAACAAGTGCGATAAACGTGTGGTAATATTCCGGAAATGTCCGAACTGGCTCTGATCCGTGGGATAAGAACCTCAAGTGGTCAAGTGACACTTCACGTATGCTAGAACGGTGTATAATTAGGTATTTTACGGAAGGGGGTAGAAAATAGTATATTATGTAACAAGTGCGGTAAACGCCATTTGACTCATGAGTTTATTTGACACGAGCGGAGCGAGTTTTTAATAAACGATTGAGTTGAAAAATTTACCGAACGTGTTGCATACTATACTTTTTCTACGACCGTTAGTTTTGGGGTCCATTTTCGCAAAACAACACGAATACATACATGCATACATACATGACCGTCAGAATTGAAAAACGTCAAAATTCAAAGCGTGGGAAATATCTCCGAAAACATCCGATTGCTCCCAAATCCGTACGGTAATATCCCGGAAATGTCCGAAGTGGCTCGGATTCATGAGAAACGAAACTGACGTGGTAAAGTGATGCTTCCCGCACGCTAGATCGTTGGGTAATTAGGTATTTTACAAATACCTGGATTTGCTGCGAAAAAGAAACAATGCTTTTCTTATAATGGCAAACATTAACAAGGATTTGGAAAGTGAAAAATGAAGTGCAATGCAATGGGGGAAATTTAGTAGATAATAATTATTGGTTTTAAATTATTTTTGGGAATGTGATTGACAAAATTATTGAAGTTTTTTGCATAAACGGGGCCTATTCAAAGGTTTCATATGCTGCGAATTTAATTGGGATCCACAGAGCACGACAGTCAATCAAAAATTAATTTAGTATGCTTGGTACTAGCAGTTCTTAGCTGACAAATAAAATTGATGTATTTCAACGGTATACTATCTTGGTCAAATAACTACATTAATTAAACTAAATCAATTAATTTGGCTGCAATCCTATAAAACTCCAGTTTATAAACAGACAGGGTTTTGGAGGCAAACTCTAACAGTCTTATTGAAACCAGAAATGCAAAGGCAGGGTTGAGATAAGACTTCGAATCTATATCTTTTTTTTTAAATGAATGAAATTTGATACAAAATTATTATTAGAAGGGACCATCAAAAACTTTTTCATCTATTTTTCTTATAAAATGATCTCTCATCAACTGTTAGAGCTTGTAATTTAAATCTGGCCCGCTGCAAAAATTGATTATCTAGCTCAATCGGAGTTGAGTAGCAATTCTAAATCAATAAAAAAAAACAAGTTCGAGTGATATCTTGATATTGTAGGAAAAATTAGTAATATCAAAAAATCTTTCGAGATCAAGGCCAGGCTACGTCTACTCGCTCCTGGTTAGCTTAAAATGCCGAAAACCCAAAAAAAAAACATTTAAATTGGCCGGCCCTGTGCACACAGTGCTGTAACAAAAATTTAATTAAAGGCAGGATCATCCAAGTTGCGGTTTTCCACTACAAAGTAAAAGTTGCTTTTATTGTGGGTAACTTCGTTACGACGCTTTTGCTTTGATGGGGAGGACCAATGTTAATTTAATGTTACGCTACTAAAATATTCCAGCGAAAAGGAAAAATTAAAAAGGATCCTAAATTATCCAACACAAAAGGTTTATTGTAACTAGTAGAATCCATAAATAAAATGAAATACAGAATATCCCATTTAAAATATTAATCCTTTCAGGCAACACTTTTGTGACGCGCTCTGTATAATCGTAAATATTTTCAGGGTGTTTATGGCATATATTATTTTAATACTAATAATACCAGAGCTTTCACTTCACTTTCATATAATATAACCTGACTTGTAATTACACCTACACTTAAGTTAACACTTGTTGTGTTACAGAATTTTCTGCAACTATAGTTGGCGTTTTACCTATCTTCAAGTCTGTGTCAATGGGAAATTTCCAAGCCACTAACACGTAGGTACATATCCGTATGTGGTCATGTGATTCCGATGGTGTACCTGAAAACCCAAGAGAATATCGGGTTATTATAAGGAAAGGCTCTTTTTTCGTTGACAATGAATCCCGTCAAATGTTTCGTATGTGCCGAGACCAATTTCAAAATCGTTTGACATATTGGACCAAGGCTTACAAATATTCACCGATTTGACTCTTGGACGATTTAGCTCAGCCCGGTGGGAGCTAGCAAAATATTCTGAATGCGAAATACGCCGTTTGCAAGTTACATTAGTACAGATAACAAATACTCTGATTAACTTCCACTCTTTCAATACATTTTCTTTCCTGTTTTTTGTACTTGAAATTACAATAAAATCGGCTGAAGAAGACATTTTCCTGAATAAATGCTACAGCATAAGTACTCATCAAGCGTGTCGCGACAAATCTGAAGACAATAGGAAAAATAATTTCAAATACGTATTACATGTGTAGCATATCTCTATACAAAATTACTTTATTTATATATTTGTAGTACTTGATTCTCATTGTGGCAGATCTTGTAGTTGCAGGAAGGTTAGCTGTAGAGGTCTTCACAAAAAAAATTTTTAACAAGAGAACAAATAAAAAGAAATGTGCTTGTCGGGGTTTAAATTCGCTAAATGCGCTCTCATTGGCCATGGCGTCAGCGCTCGATCGAGAGGATGTCTATTAAGTCGTTACTGACATTTTATTTCTTTAATTTTAATTTTAATTTTAATTTTATGAAATATTCTGTCATAATTTTCTTAATACAAAAATGTATTTTGTATCTTTAAAATTCTGTACATTTTTGAGTGTTTAAAGCAGAAGAAACGAAGAAAATCAGCGTAGGTAATATTAAAGAGGAGTGTTTTTTAGTTTCATTACTCGGTTTGTAAGTTGTCATTTTTCGAAACATTTGCACAAACGCTGTGGACAAAACAGGAGTTTTTTGAAATCAGTTTTATACGGAGATATTTAATCAAGGGGGTGCCATTGTTTCCATTTTAAAGTGATCTAAATATGACGTTCTTGACGTTCTGGACACTGGTATATATCGCCATCGCAATTCGGAATAGAGAGGAGCTATTACGAAAATAAATTTTTCTAATCCCGTCTGTAAAATACCTAATTACCCACCGATCTAGCTTGCGGGAAGCTTCACTTTACCACGTCAGTTTCGTTTCCCATGAATCCGAGCCACTTCGGACATTTCCGGGATTTTACCGTACGGATTTGGGAGCAATCCGATGTTTTCGGAGATATTTCCCACGTTTTGAATTTTGACGTTTGTCAATTCTGACGGTAATGTCAGTGAATGTATTCGTGTTGTTTTGCGAAAATGTACCCAAAAACTAACGGTCGTAGAAAAAGTATAGTATGCAACACGTTCGGTAAATTTTTTAACTCACTCGTTTAGGTATTTAAAACTCGCTCCGCTCGTGTCAAATAAACTCGTGAGTCAAATGCCGTTTACCGCACTTGTTGCATAATATACTATTTTAAATTGGCCAGGAAACCTTCCGCCCGGATATGAACCAGATATTGCAGTTTCTTGCACTTGACAATTTTGAGGATTTCTTTGGTTTCATTCATTACTCACACCATTTCGATGTTTGTTATTTTGCAGGTCCATGGTATTTTTAAGATCCCAGTGTATGGCCAGTATTTGAAGGTTCTTCGTCATAAAGAAGAATATAGAATACATAACACCTGAAGAGTCTTAACTTTGTTGTGTCGCTCATCGAATTAAACACATTTTTAGCTTTTGCGATCTAACATTTGATTTGTGACCCGTTCAATTCCGGCATGTGCCTAACTTCCTTTATACTTATTTTCGTAAATTTGGTTTTGGATGTGATTATATCTAATTTATATTGCGATCTCGTTTCATGGATACTATTCATAAGCGTCTGATGTCAAGTCAATATGTGTTCTGAATATAAGTTGAATAGTGTACGTGACAAAATATGGCTCTAGTTTTCAGTACAATGTTGATATGATTCTGATTTTCGTATGTTTAGTTATTCTTCATCGAGTAGCTTGAAGAAATCTGCGAGTGTTCGATCTAACCCACCTGATTTTCCTTCTTTTATCTACTTTATGGCATCTTCTTTCATTGTTTGATTCTTGTTTTTCTCTACGAGCCCCATTGGTATTCTAAATTTGATTATACCATTTTTTAAATCTCTCGAATAATTAGCAATTAAGAATAAAGTAGTTTTCTATAAGGACACATCGAACATTGGACGTCCTGTACTAAACACATCTTTAAGACGCCATTGTGCTATCCGTGTGATGGGGGTTATTGTCGTTCCTGGAAAATAAACGCCTTTATCGTTATTGTACTTTCAAACCACAGTCGGGTGCCTTAAAACAACGTGCCAGGAGCTAACGCGGAATTACGACCCTTTAAGCGTGGTGTGAATTGGCCACAGACAGGAGAAAAGTGTTTTCCCGTGGCTTTTCATTATTTACGTTACACCTTAAAACCGAACTTCCAGTTTCGTTGCTTCGCCCATCATCGTCCCGATACACCACCTTTATCGGCAACAGCTTTCACACATGTTGATCGCGCCGACGCGTTCCCGGAACTTTAATGAAACAGGGCTCCGGGACCAGTCGAAGATCTGCCGCCAACCTGTTGGTCGAACGATTCCGGGCGTCGTGACGTCTCGCGTCTTTTGGTGTATTTGTCTCGACAGGATCACCACAACAAAAATCTCTTCGGTGCCACAGCGGCAGATTGATCGACGGTCCAGTTCTGCGTCGGGGATCTAAGTTGAGGTAAGGTTGTTTACTTTGACTTGCGACGATGTAAATACACGCGATTTTATTCCGGTTAAAGCTTGGTGAGAAGCGGCACTCGTGCAAAGCAATAGAAACGCGTACTGGTTCCATGGTAGCAATTTACAACGGCTATTATTAACAATTTGGTGCTTAAAAATTATAAACATAATTTATGAACATTAATACTAAAGGTACAACTATTATTTATTGTTTCTTATTCTGATATTTTTGGAGCTACTTAAATTTTAACGACTTTGTGAACAATCTCTGTGTTTGGAATTTTGTTAGTTATACCAATTCTATTATGAACAGAATCCTCAACGTAGTCTTCAGCAAATTTCGATGAAATTCAACCCCCATGTCGTTTGAATTATATCAAGTCAGCAGCCTGATTAACAATGCCCTCTATATTCCCCTGAGTTAAGTAATTTTAAAAAAGAATTTATTTTGAAAAGAGCTTTACCCAGTGCATGTACCCATACGGCTTGTTGATTACATTATGCCTCTATTTGTATACCTATATTTACCTATTTGTTTATAAGCAAGTCTTTCCTACAAACATGCGCGGCAAGCAAAACCAAATTAAAAACCAATTACAGTTTTTCACTGCATCTTACGTGTCAAACACCGGAACCTCTGTCCCAACTCTGTTATAAATTCGGCTGCATCTGATAACTGCAGAGTTGGAAGAGTAGTTTGAGTAATACCTAGCTACAGCGAACGTTTGACTGTTTCTAAGTATGTTAGTGTATACTGTTTCCATTAATTTCTTTTTCTCAAGTAATTATAAACGAACTTGACAAATTTGATTTCGCGTTTAGATTGTTAACGCGAAGCGTTGTTTCAATCAATATTTAATAATTTTGTCTTGACTAAATGCCACACGATAGGCCACAATCAACAAAACTAGTAATAAAAAAATGATCATTTTTCTTCCTGAACGCTGTTAATGTAAAAGACGTATGTGCTCATGTCGAAATATACTATTGAATGTACTCCACGACGATGATGATTTTTGGTTTTCTGATTTTTGTGAGAAATATAGCAATAAAACATGTTCAAGCACCACTTTTAGAAAGCTTGATAGATTTCTTCATATCCGGAACAATCGACGGTAATAAGTCGAACGTTGTTTCGGTGGCTGCTTGAACAATTTGATTTGCTGAACTTCCGTTTTCCACTACTTTCTACTCTTCAAATACTATTAATTTTGTTACTATTATTAACTCATATTAAAAAACTTTTTAATCCTGTCCGAAATTAACAAAAACGCGGTCAGGAGCGGAGCAGCTTAAAAAGTATTTTTTGTTGTCACGTCATGTTTCAAAAGTTTCAAAAGTGTTAAGGGACGCCGTTATATGGCGAGGTACGCCTGAACAAGCATTTTCAATTTCTATATATAAGACTATGTAAAACAGGTATCGATTCCATATATTTATTTACTCGGTTGTGAAGCTCTTACAAAACTACTCCTATCAATAATGATGCATTTATAGGTACAAGTTATGCAAACAAAAAGGCGTAACATGTATCTATAATACTATGAACTACTAGAAACCTATGTACATTTAATAGATGGTTGTTCTGAAAAGGAGAAAGAAAACAATTAAAACAAATCTATTTCCCACCCCTAAGTTAAAATAATCTACCTAAATTGCACTTCTAGGCTTTTCGCTGCACAATAGAAAAGGGACTAAAAATATTTAACTGGAGGAATCTGCAAATCGCTTAACAGCGCGACAGGAGAAATTTCTTCCATTTAAATAAATTAAACTCTGTTCTGGACAGCTGCATATCCACCAGAGAAGTTTTCTATAACATGTTCAGGCTTTTGTCAGCCCAGCAGCAGCGGCAAAAAAAAATTAACAGATAAATTTAAAGTCAGTACCCTGAAAAAAAACTGTGCTGTTTTAAATCACTGAAAAAATTGGTCATATGCCAAAGAGGAAAATATAATTTGCAAAATTCACTAAAAAGTTACTTCAAAAAATATTGTTACCAACTCCCCATTCTAAAATACTCTATTATGCAATAATTTGGAATAAGGGAAGTGCTACTTTAAGTTACCAATGAAGCTGTCACAGTCACATTTCTGGGGTTTGCGATACATGAACCATGGTACTTTCAGATTTGCCTATATAATTTATACCGGATGTTTCAAATTCGACTCTCGCCGGGTGGCTTCAATTAGTGCAAAGTTGCGCATCGGTAAGTTCAATTATGTTCCGTTTTGAAATTGAAGTTTTTTTTGTTACTACCGGAAATATGTCTGAAAATCTAGAGCTTACGGTTTTCGTTTTTATTTTGTAATGCATTTATTTAAAAACTTGGCACAAATCAGTTACATTGGAGCTTTTTAGGCTTCATTTTATGGCTAGGTCAAAAAACCAATACGACGTTTAGTTTTTCTCGAACCATCATCAACTTTATTTTTTCTTATCGTCGGTCGCCCTATTGGATTTTGCAGTGTTGAATAGCCCGTATTCGTACCTTTTTATGGATGTATCACAAATTGTATTTGTCTTCCCTCAAATTCAAAATATTGAACAAAAAGTTTTATACCATTTTAAGATATGGATTTTTAAATCTGTCGATGACATTTTAATATCTAGTGCATTACTCTGTCGTTAAAAATGGGCTTTACCAATGAAGAAGACAAAAATATGGAGACAGACTCTATAAGGAAACTAAAGAAAATTTAGTTAGTGATGTACGATTAAGGTGAAATTATTTTATTCCTTTCAATAAAAGTTGGCATTTTGCCGATAAATATGAACCCGGGAAATCCACACGCTAAGTTTACTTTAATATAGGTGCTTCTTCTCATACGAGTGCTTGGAGACACCTAAAAAAAGTAGTTTCAAATGCTACAAAATTCATATCCCGATTTTGCAGCCTTCCTAGAAAATGTGATTTGGATAGATGAAAGCACTTTTATAAATTGTGGAATATTCAATCGAAACAATGAACATATCTGGAGCATTACCAACTTCAGGCAATTTCGAGAAATTCGACCGCAGGTATTTTGGGTCTAACGGCATTCTGAATGGAGAATCGTATTATCGTATATATCAGTTTTTGCCGTCAACGCTTGAAGACTATTTCGATGATTTACCTTTGATCCTGACTTATAATACAACACAGCTATCTGATTATTTTTCGACAAGGTTTGGCGATGATGGTCAACCTGGTTTCCAGATCTCATTATCCTCGATACATTTTAACTTGCAGAGAAGAGTAGATCTATGTTTGCATAATCACGGACAACATTTTGAGCTTTATTTGTAATTTATCAATTATCTTTAGATTTTTTGAAATATTGTACATTCACAATTTTATCTCAGTTTTTCAAACGAAACAAAATCAGCGAGATTTCTATCCAATAATTTAAACAAAGCGATGAGGTTGTCGTATTTCAGAATATATATTTAAACACTTTTCCGAAGTCTTGACATCGTTTCTATCGTTTTTGCAATAAAGTTTTACAATATCTCATGTTTCTTCTTTAGTATGTTCGTTCCATTTTTAACGACACAGCAATGCACTGGACATTAAAATTCGTAGATTACTATACATCAATAAAAAGGTAATGATGCGCGCTATTCAACACTGCAACAATCTAATATGGCAACCATAAATTAAGTTCATGATAGATAGTTTGAGAAGAACGAAACGTCGTAAGGGATTTTTCCTTGTCCATAAGATGAAGCCTAAAATGTTTGAAAGAGAATGTATTTGCAGATTTTTGCTAAATTTTAAAATAAAAACATATAAAAATAAAAACCAAAACCGGAAAGTTCAAAAGTTCCTAAATGTTTCCGAAAGTAACAAAAATAACTTCTATTTCATCTCTCTCTTACCGTTACCGAGATCCTAATGGTGAGAATCAAATTTGAAACAGTTGGTATATTATTTAATAAATTGATATACCAATTAAATAAAATAATAATTAAATAATAAATTTGAAATACTATAATGGATTGTAAAGTTTCACTAATACTTTGCTGGATTGAATATAGTTGAATACTTATTATAGTTATAGTTTATAGTTTTTAAGATGAAATTGTCTTCTAAATGGATGTTAAACTATGTGACAATAATGATTATTATTATTGTTATTAATATTATTATTACTATTATTATTATTATTATTATCATTTTTATTATTATTATTATTATCATTATTATTATTATAATATTACTTATACTATATTTTTATTTTCTAGAAATTATGTTTGGTTATCCTGTAGAATTCAGGCACCTGTTATTTTCATATAGTTGACGATAGTTTACACTAAAATGTATTATCACTAATAAGCAATTTAAAAGATTACAGAAGGTTTGTTACGTTAATCCTTCTTTTACAGAGGATTATTTTGCCGAAGTCTTCAATACTGTCAGGGACGACACGAAGTTTCAAGTTTTTTTTTTATGTTGACTTCAAAAGTGGTATCAATATAGTTAATCCTGTAACTATTTGAGAAAATTATTATAATATTATATATTTATTTTCGATTGAAAAATATATTAACCCGCCAATGCCCCTATAATATATGTACTCCGACTACGCAGCCAGAATATCTCTTGGAATTGCAAAAATCAATCGCTTTTAGCCAAACGGGAAATTTGCGGCAAACGTCGATTCACATTTTGAAGTTCACATCGGTAACAATTATGGACAATTAAGTTTACCAAGGGCGGCGGAACTCGCTTGTCCAATTAGCGGTAATTTCTAGCCAGAGAGAGACAGTCAGGAGAATCATTATATCACTGGTACTCAAAGTGCCTTGGCATTATTTCAGAGTGGATTGCTACAACGGATGAGAATACTCTGTCACACGTCTTTTCATTTCACTGGGTGAGCTATATTTTTTTAGCGGTTATCAAAAGTACCTTATTAGCTATTTTACAATTCACTTAGACTTTAATTTGAAAAAAAAAAATTAAATGGTTGCGTTCTTTTGATATGAGTTTCATATTTGCGTTCTATGGTTTAT